TATTCACTACAGCATTGCTCTTTGTATAAGGCGTTTAGAAATGCCTTTAAAAGTGGTCAAAACGACCTCAAAGACCTTTCAAGGCATTTTTTAAAATGCCGGCTATAACATATGTTAGTAAAAGGTCTTTTGAGGCACTTTTTCAAAATGCCTTTTAATATCTTAAAAATGGCTTGTTCGGCTTCTTTTTTCAGCCGAAACAGTGTTTTTCTCTCACAACAATTTAGCCGGAACAGTATTTTTCAGCCAGTTTCAGCCAATTTTCAGACCAGCGAACGGGGCCATAAATGCCTTTTCTAATATTGGTTTAATTTGAGGGTACCAACCAGTTGTCAGGTTGAGGCACCAATGGGCAGTGACAACATGTTTCATACTGCTGATTAGTAACAACACAATGGGAGCCCCTGTTTCACTGCCGGTTCAAGGTTCCAACCAAATGGGACCGCTACTGTCTTATTGATTGTTTGCGTGTTTACCTCGCAACACTAGAGCCCTCTGCCTCTTCTTCCGCTATACTATTCAACAGTCATGTCCCTTCATTTCTTAACCGATTGGACCATCCACTCTATGTTTTTTCATTAGGATTGAGTATTGCGCAATAGTCCAGTGTTTTGAATTCTCTAAGCATTGAACCATCCTTTCTGTGTGGGCAATTAATAGTGTCCGATGCTTTGAAGGTACCATCATGGTTGGAGATAAATACTGTATATGCCTTATATGATGGTCTAACACACCCTCAACAAACAAGGTGAGACTACATGCGCAGAATATATCAACACACACATAGGCCAAATTAAAATTGGACCAGATTTTGTATGGATTCAACCCTAGGCCGAGGAATATCACAAGATCAACATCTTTTGCCTATCCAACTTTGCCAAATGCTTTATACAACTCTTGATGTATGTGTGAGTTCTCTTTGACCAAGTGATGCTTGCTAGTTTATTCTATGCGAACATTGATAGTTTCTTCTATTCTATGCTTGTGAAATTAACTGATAGTTTGAAGAAGACAATCCCACTTGTCAGTGATCCTCTTACAACTTATGTAAGTGTATTTGTCATCTAGGGATGAAAGTTTCCGAAGGAGTAACACGTATATCCGTCGTGTGCGATTGGGGTGCTCTATTTCTACCTGGATCAACTCCTCATTGTTCTCCTTGTTGTCTTAAAAATACCCATGAGAAGATTCCTCATGACTACCACAACATTTTTCGTGACATCTTTGGCATCAGGGTTACATGGACATAGGGAGCCATCAGTCTGGTGATCCTCTTTTGGAAATCTATTAGGCCCATGGTACTAGTCCCTGGATCAGCGGCTAATATGAGCATAATTACAAAAATGGCATCAAAACCATGCACGACTTTTATATAAAAAGAGTTTTACTTGGTGTCAAACAACTGTATGAACTTGAAGTGGCCAAAAGACTTTAGCATAACAATTGGCTACAATGTGGTATCCAACCTACATGCAATTTGAGATTTTTCTGAAGCGATCTTGAACTTTTCATTCAACGGTACACACTTCATCACTACAATGGTCATTAGTCAAGGTTGAGTACTTGAGGACCTCAGTAACTCATAACCTTTACAAAGTTGTTACATGACATGGGTTGAGTAACAAAGTTATTAGGTTCATAGGTTATACCTATGCCTACAACATTTTCACATGTGATAATTATAAAGGTTCTTTGGTCCCAGAGAGAGTATCACATCCCTACCGGTCCTCACATTTTAAATACTAGAAATCCTCTTACAAATCTCATGCCAACACTCTAAAAACAGAACTCACACCTTTTACAAGTTTTAGGCCCTGTTTGGAGTTTTAGAAAAATACAATGTTTTTTGAAATACTTTGGTTTTAGAGTAACATTAAGTGTTTGGATGCAACAAACTTTATGGTGTCGAGTACCATGGTATTGCTAAAATTGTAGTCTTTTTAGAGTTTTGAAAACTCCCACTCTATACCTATTTTTTCTAGACCATGGTTTTGCACATCAATAAGTTCTATAACCGTAGTTTCTTGATACACTATGATTTCTTAATACTACAACATCCAAACAAGGCCTTACCATGACTAATCATTGAGGGATACCTTATCGGGTTCATGACCAAGCCGAACCATGGCTATTTAAACATACTGATGCCCTACAGGCATGCACAAATGTACTCACATATACATAATTCGCACCATAGTCGTAGACTGAGATGGCCTAACGAGGCCTTGTCTACCTAGACCACTTATGAGAAAGCATTCCATAGTATCCACCCGTGAGTCGCAACCATGGGCTGCTACAAAACAACATAAACTATTCATATACTACAACTTTCTAGCTAAATGAGTTGCTACAAATAGCATAAGCAATTCAAATCCCACAATGTAAACAATATAACTAGCTTTAGATAAGTAGACATGAAATATCCAATCATTTTTCTTGACATTGAGGTATGCTATGGAACTATCAACAATTAAGTTTTCACCCTTGCGCCTCAATTCATCTTCTTAAGCGTTATGGTTTTCACCCTTGCCTGTGGAAGGGACCCTTGTTTGTCCTCCACCCACTACAGACGATGAGAGCCAAATTGCCACATCCTCGTGCCTCAAGATATAAAGGTTCCATGACACAACAAAAGAACTCAAATACTACAAACCATTTGTCAACACTTTAAACTAATCACTCCTAAAAACAAACACCTTCATTTAATGATTGATTCAATAGTATATCGACACAATCACAAACTCTAATTATATTTATGTTTGTTTCACTAGTTTATCTAGGAAGGCCTACATGTTAATTTGGTTGGTTTTGACATTGTTGTGGTATCAAGAGTCAAATGGCATGGTGCTAATTTCAGCTTTCCCTCCCTATGATATAAGATGTGACTGCATGTAGGGGAAAGGAAATTTTAGTGAAAGCGATTAGCAAATAAAGCAAAGCTTTTTAGGGAAGCTACAAATGCAGAGAGTGATGTGCATGCATCCAAATTTGCTAGATGACTCGAGTTACTCCGTGCACACACGCGTGGACCGATCCATGAGTAGTATCCATAATTGTACACATAAGAAAAGGTTTACTCCACGTACACATGTGCACACTAATCCACGAGTGGTATCCATAATTGTATTTGTGACGTGGCCTAGGTTTAAATTTCTCACCAATACAAATCCTGATATTTCGGCATTATTCGTGCGGGCCAATAGAAAGCATTTATCGGCAAAACATTTCATGAGTTTGCATTTGGAATGTTAGAATTTCACCCTATACAAGCATTTATCAGCAAAACATTTCATGGATTTGAATTTGGATTGTTAGAATTTCATCCCACAAGAACATGTGAGCCCAAAACAACTGGATAAACTCCCCATGCAACCCTAACGGTAATTAAAAACTTGTCTAGTTTTTCACCTTCCTCTTTGTAGCCACCTCCACTCTCTGCTCCTGCTCTCGTCTTGTGTGCCACTATGAGAGTGTTGTATCCTCATATTTCTATACTATTTTGTATTGTTTTGTGATGTCAAAAGGCTGGCACCCATTCTATATATGATTTTGTGTGCAAATCAAGTGTTTGTTTTTAGAATTTTGGATGAAAGAAAAAAACTGCCATAGTTAGATTTTTTGATATTTCCTATTTATTATCAATGATCATTGATATTTTTGAAATATGGATAATGTAAACCCTAGTGATGCTTGAGAAAAGGGTCCGGGGAGTATGCAAAATATAATCGTAGTGAGATACAACCTACATCAATTGTTTAGACATTTGGATCATGTTTTTTTCTTGCTCATTATTGTTGTCATTTCCTTTTATGCCTATGACTAAAACAATAATTTAACAAGATATATGACACTATGACAATATAAATCTTTTTGTGATTATATATATAAATAAATAGATAGATAGATAGATAGATAGATAGATAGATAGATAGATAGATAGATAGATAGAGAGAGAGAGAGAGAGAGAGGGAGGGTGGGAGAGAGTGAGACAGAGGAAGAGATAGAGAGATAGAGGGGGGGGGGGAGACCGAGCCTAATAAATACAACTAAGTATATTATGTTTAAATTATCTCAGATCTGAAGATCTTTTACCAATTAACAGTATTTTCCAGAGATCTTAGACTAATAGATATATAAGAAAAAAAACCTCTCTAATTCTATCATACGTATCTGCAACGATTCTTCCATGATATGATGATCCTTGTAGATATGAAAACTCGCGTGACACAATTCCAATCCCATGGATATTGGTGTGATATGGATCCTAACTAGGATGGATCGCAATACTAGCTAGCATGTTTAACGCGGTATACTACTAGCAGCCCTTAATGGTCTCCCAAAATAAACCTTGTATTGGGATGGCATTGATATACAGAGCAAATCTGACAAAAGAAGCAGCTTTTGATTGGCGCCTCTTAAATGCTTTCCAATCTAAAGCCCCTACTCCTTTTTCGTGGTGGTTGCTCCTTTTCCCTAGTGTTCCTTCCTTGGGCTATGGCATACGCATGGTGTGAACGCATGCAGCCGGCCGGCGTGCGGCTTACGAGTAAGGGTGAGAGACCTTTGACTTCTCTCCCTCTCTTTCACCGTCCATTTCGCTCCACACCCGGCACGACACCCGATCGAGTAGCTATAAAACACCACGCAGCACCGGTGGGCAACCAAGCACACAAGAATCACAATCCTTACCCCTTTTTTAGGGGAAAAGCTTGATTCACCCCAAACCCTCGCTCCTTAGCTATTCCATTCCATCCATCTCATCCCTTCCCATCGCCGGCCCGGCCACACACAATGTCGTCCTCGTCCATGGTCCTGGCGTCGTCGTCCACCACGTCCTCTTCCATCATCACCAACTCCGCTTTTGGCTCGCACATGCTCAAGATCGACGGCTACACGCGCACCAAGGGACGCCACCGGCATCCACCTCAGGTCCTGCTCCTTCAGCGTTGGCGGCCACACCTGCCACCTCGCCTACCTCCCCAACGGGGACACCGCGTGGAATGCCGAGCACCCCGGTGCTCGCGCAGTTCTGCATAGCCCTGCTCGATCGCGCCGGCAATCCGGTGCCGTCCCACACCCAGGCCCGCCCCGTGACCCGTTTCGCCGCCCACGCCGCGCACTGGGGCTTCAACACCTTCATCCAGAGGGAAGTGCTCGAGAAGTCGAGGTACCTCAACCTCAAGGATGACTCCTTCTGCGTCTGCTGCGAGGTCAACGTCGTCACTGGGTTCCGCGCTGAGGACGCCGCCGCCACCGCGTGCGTCCGCGTCCCGCCGCCAGACCTGTCGCAGAAGTTTGGCGAACTCCTGCGGAGCGAGCTGGGTGCCGACGTGCGCTTCCGGGTCGACGGGGAGGACTTCGCCGCACATCGTTGCGTGCTCGCGGTAAGATCGCCGGTGTTCTAGGCCCAGCTGTTCGGTGCCATGAAGGAGGCCTCGCTTTCCGCTGGGGAGCACTGTTGGGTGGAGATTGATGACATGAGGGCAGACGTGTTCAGGAATTTGTTACATTTCATCTACACTGACGCGCTGCCCACCAAGCCCGAGCACCAGGAAGAGACCCTCATCATGGCTCAGCACCTGCTCGTTGCCGCGGACAGGTATGGCATGGAGAGGCTCAAGCTCATCTGCGAGGACATTCTGTGCAGGCACATCGACGTCAGCACCGCAGCCACCACACTGGCCCTTGCTGAGCAGCACCGATGCCAGGGGCTCAAGGAAGCATGCTTTCAGTTCCTCAAGAAGTCTCCTGGGTCGCTGAATGCTGTCATGGCAACTGATGGATTTGACCATCTAGTCAACAGCTGCCCGGACATTATAAAGGAATTGATGTCTAGACTTGTTGCTGCCCATTCCAACTGAACAAGATTAAGGACATGCTATCCAACATGACATAGATGGAGTTTCAGCAGCAATGCGAAATGCACGAGCTTGTTCGGCTGGGATGAAATTTGGTACTGTTCAGGCTGGAAACACTGTTTATGCTAAAATTTTGTGAGAGAAAAACACTGCTCCGGCTGAAAAAAAAAAGGCATCCAGCCAGCCAAAAGTGACCGGCCGAACACGTCCATTCCCTGTTACTTGTGTTAGTCACAAAATTAAAGGTGCCGCTCCGGATATATGCTATGTATGTTTAGTTAATCTTATTAAACTTTATTTAGTTATATGTGATATCCCAATCTATGTTTAGTTAGTTATAATCTTATTAACCTTTGGTTTTGGAAGGAGAACTATATATTCCTAGGGGAAAATCCTTTCAAATTACACTGATAGAGAACCGAACTTTACTCCCGGTAGGGAACCCTCTCTAGTCCCGATTCCCCACCCGGGAGCAAGCATCCGGGACTAAAGGGGGTCCTTTAGTCCCGGGTCAGGAACCGGGACTAAAGGAGGACCTTTAGTCCCGGTGGGTAACACCAACCGGGACTAAAGGTGCCTCCTGACATGCCACGATGGCCGGCACCTTTAGTCCCGGTTGGTAATACGAACTGGGACTAAAGGTTTTTTTCTTTTTTCTTTTCTTTTCATTTTTTTGTTTTCTTTTCAAAATAGGTTTTTGAAGTCGTATTGTACGCTGCTAATTATACATTTATACGCGCATATAGTATGTTTCGGTTCAAGCACAATAAACGTATTAAATCACACAATTCAAGCATAGAAATATATATATATATATATATGCAAGCATGCATCATATATATATTTACATGCATGCATGCATATGTGTATTTTACATTATATTATTTCATGTGCATATATTACAAAAGATTGCATTACAGTTGTTGTGACATAACAAGTTTCCTCTCATCCTCTAGCTTGGCTTCAATGGCAGTGTTGGGTCGAAGTAGAACTCGCCCTTGGAATCGATGACCTGCTCATTAAAAAATCCGGCTATAGACTCTTGAATTGCTTTGATTTGGTCTTGCCGTATGACCTTTTCCTCCAACCATCGAGTCTACAGGTTTGAATTAAAGAAAAATAAATTAATATATGTATATATATATATATAAAGACATAGTAACACAATCAATAATAATAATTAAATGAATATATAGTGTATTTTTAACGTACTTTGAGTCTCTCCGTAGGAGTTCTTTGGGAGAGCACCTTGATAAACTTGCAAACATAGTAACCACAGTAGTTGTTCCTCTGTTCGCGCCGGACACCACTTTACGAGAAAAGATTTGTCATCCAATCTGGTGATCCGGTGAAAGCTATATGTTTAATTAATAAAGATGATGCGATTCGAGGACTTACTTTCAAAGGGATTACATTCGGTGGCGCTTTGCATTTTTCCATGTGTTGCTTCTCAATAAAGGTTTTCCAAACATCGCCCAATAAAAATTTGCCACGTCATCGGATATAGTTAATCATCATGTTTGTGTGTATATATAGTTGCTAGAGATCCCGAAATTACCTCCGGATAATATCTATCATATCTTGGTAGTCTTGTTGTGGTTTCTCATCGAGTCATAGATTATCAAGTGACTTTTCACCGGATCAATGTCCATCAATATCCAAAGTGATTGCTGCATGTGTTTATAGGATATAACGCATAACACTCATTAATTAACTAGAATCAACATATGAGCCATTAAGGATATGATCGACATGATTAACACTCACTTGAAGTTATAGGGAAAGAGTATATCCTTCTCGTGGCGTTGGTTCACTAAGAAGTTCATGAGGTTACTCTCGATTTCGGACTTCCAATTAGTCTTTGGAGTAATTGGGTCTTTGAATATTATATGGGGATCAACAAAACCAATTTCATTGTAGCCTTCCTTTCTAAGCTCATCATTGTAAATCTGCATATATATAGTACTTGTTAGGATAATTTATATACATATACACACATATGATGAGTTTAATAATAGATCAAAAGAATTATTACTTACAGTGCAATAGCAGCGACTAATGATAACTTTGTCCGAGAGAGGTCGGGTGGCATAGTTGATGAAATTCGCAAAGTCAACATACATAACATCATCGCCATACGGAACCAATGTTCGTCTCTAATTTCGACACCAACGCTAGAAGTCTCCACGGTAGAGCATGTACCACTTGTTTAGCGTGTACATTTGCGTCCCCAGATCGAGATAAGGCTTGAGGGTTGTATAGACTCGCCTAGTACAAATTTTCGCGCCGCAGACTCTCAATGTTTCCATCACCAAACATCTGGTAAAGGTCGAGACCCGGTCTCATCAAGAAATTCACCAAGGTGATCCAAATCGACATCCGGAGGTATGTTTGCCTCGATGCATTAATCCTAAATTGAACCATATTCATTACCAACAACTAGCGGGGGATTAATTGGTGCGCTTGTTGTCCGAGTTGGACAACTCCTTTCCTCCCCCGCTTTTTTTTCTGTGCCACCTCAATTGACTTGGTGAGAGTGCGGTCATAGGTCGATAACGTTGATTTGGAATGCTTACGAGATTCCCCGTTGTTCTTTGGTAAGAAGTCACCTTTTTCTTAGAATATCCGGAGCTACGAAGAAGTACGGTTTCTCTGGATTTCTCCTTGCTTCTTGATTCATTTTAAGTTTGTCATAGAATCTAGACATGTCTTTTTTATATGCATCGGTTCCTTCTTTCTTCTCTTGAGATATTATTTTGGGAATAGCCTTGGTTTCACGGTGGCTTTCTTTGCCGGTGTGGGCCGGTTCTTCATTTGAGGGCTGGCCTCTTGCTAGGCTTCTTGGTAGGCGGGGCGGGGGAGACGTTGGAGACCTCCTTGGAGGTGTTGGCGTGGCGTTGGAGACCTCCTTGGAGGTGGCGGTGCGGCGCTGGAGACCTCCTTGGAGATGGTGTGGATGCAGCCTCGTCTTCCAACACAATGTCATCGTCTGAGCACTATGATGATCTGGCGATTGAACAATTGGATTTAGGTTGGGGAGGATCTGCTAAAAAAAGGAATGACATATTATTATGAGTGATTGTTAATTATTTAAGCCAATACAAATTAATGATGTAGTGCTTTCATCCGCATGTACCTATGGTGAGGTAGTTCGGGGAGGAGGTGGAGCCGACATCCCCGAATGATGATGTAGCGCCATGCCATAGAATGAATGTCTTCTCTGCTTCTCCTAGAGTCTTCTCGCCATCACCTCCGGGAATGTCAAGAGGCAAATCACTAAAACCTTTTTCTTTATCTACCGAGATGGTAGCATATCCTTCTTGGATTATATTCCCATGAATTCTTGGTGTCTTGGTTGGTCGATAGGATTAACAAGACCGATAGCCACCTTGATTATGGAATTCTCCTTCGAATGTGTAGCTCATGACGTTGTACAAGGTTTGATGGCGTCATCCACAGGAAGCGATTCTGTGTCCCCTTGATTTGGTATCTCCGTGGAAGCGCATTGCTTTTCAACTAAGCAGATTGGCTAATGTTGATTCTGGCTATGATGCCCGCTTGCTTGCACTCATCGCTATTTGCACTTGCCTTACGATTTCCTCCCCGCATTCTCGCTTCAAGGTTTTTTCCCCGCTGTGCTTCACGCACCGCTTCCTCCAACCTCCTGGAGCCGCTGTGGCTCTTCTTCCTTCTTTTCTTTCTGGCGATCAGGGAAGGTGCATCTGAGAGAATCCATGCTCCCACGAGACACTTCCTTTGCCTCTAGTTCGCCACCATGTTCAATAGTCCCGATGGCGTATGTCAGGCTCATCCTTCTCTCTGTTGGGCTGAACGCACCACTAGCGATAGCTCTCGAGCATAAAACAATCTTTTCTCGCCGCTTCTTGCAGTCTTGCGCTATAAACGCACTTCCCTGTCTCCTGGTCTAGTGTTCCCCCATGACCGAAAAACCAATTCTTTGCATCCGCTCGAACTTGATCTTCTCCTTTTCACTTTCACATTCTCTTTGTGCGTCACGAATGACCTAACAAAGATCATGGCTCATCTTCTGCGGCTACCTCTTCTTCACTTCTGTATCATTGAAGCACGCACCATCAAGAATAATATCATTGTCGTCCCATTGTTCTTCTTCACCTTCTTCCATTACAACACCGGTTTCTCCGTGCTTTGTCCAACAAATATAGTTTGGCATGAAACCCGACTTGAACAAGTGTGAATGAAGAGTCTTTGAGTAAGGATATTCCACCGTATTCTTACATATGGCACATGGGCAGCACATGAAACCGTCGCGTTTGTTTGCCTCGGCCAAGACGTAAAAAAAGAATGCACGCCGTCAATGAACTCTTGGGAGCGGCGATCAAGCATTATACATCCAATGACGGCTCATCGCATTACATGACATAAATATCATATTAAAACCTAGATCATAATTAATTATTTATACAACATGCGTGCCACCATAAAAGATACAAATTTATGAAATCGCTATAATGTAGACAATCCCAACTACCACTAAAAGAACTAAAGCTAAAATACATTTCGGGAGCACAAGGATTTCATGACCAATCTCAACTAAAGCATGATCCCCGATTGTGCAACATCTTTTGGGCTTCTTGGCTGGATGGACGCCTCATTAGCCAGATTCTTTTGTTGTGCAAGATATTTTTGTCTGAGTTCAACATACTCTTCCTCCCAAGAGAAGCTCGAACATCGTCCACCGCCATTCCAATGAAATTAAAACAAAAATTAGAACTTTAATCACAACCATCATGAAAATAGGTATAAACTAACCATAATCATTAAATACGATAAAATAACTCACATTGCGATCCGGACACTTGTAGAAGATATCGATCCTTGTTGGGACCCTCCTTCTTCACTCCGGTACTCTATCACAATCTTCGTCTCATCACGACACTTGCCGCATGGAATGAGAGGAAGGGCCAGCCTAAGTCGCTTTGGAAACACATAAGAGGCCGAGGACCCAGAAAGCGAGTTGCCAT